TTCAGGAGGGATGTGGATAAGCTCAAGAGTGTCCAGAGGAGAGCCACCTGTATGGTCAAAGGTCAAGAGTGCAAGCCTTATGAGGAGAGCCTGAGGGACATGGAACTCTTCAGCCTGGCGAAAAGAAAGCTTGGAGGGGACTTGGTGGCTGCCTATAAGTATATGAGGGGTGTGCATCAGGATCTGGGAGAACACTTGTTCACCTGAGCTCCCCAAAGGATAACTTGGTCTAATGGCCACAAACTTCTAGAAGGCTGATTCAGACTCAATACAAGGAAAAACTTCTTTACAGTCTGAGTGTCCAAGGTCTGGAACTGACTCCCCCTGTAGGTGGTGCAAGCATCTACTCTGGACTCATTCAAAAGGCATTTGGATGTATTTTGTGCTGGGATCATTTGATCCTTGCAGACTTCCTGCTGCTGGCAAGAGGGCTGGACTCTATCTCACAAGGTCCCTTCTAGCCCCTAATGTCCTATGAAATCTATGAAATTTTGCTAGATAAGGAATGGATATTTTTAAATGTGCTTGAAAATTACTTGCTTCAAAATCTTGCGCTGTTTTATTTCCTGTTTAGTGTACGTTGCCATGGGGGACACTGTCTAGCCTAAAATTAGAGAGTCGTAAAGATAGTGATGATGGTCCCATCATGTGGGTGCGTCCGGGAGAACAGATGATCCCTGTGGCTGACATGCCAAAGTCACCTTTCAAAAGGAAAAGGTATGTAGAAATTTTTTTAGCTTAAGAGCTATCTGATTAATGTTTTACCTCACCACCTTTTTCACTCTTTACTAGGCGGCAGCTAATCATGACATAAATCTTGTTTATATAACTTCTCAGCTCATAAGAAGCAAAATTATGCTTTTATAAAATTCCATTCTCTAAGATGGGGATTGTGGAGTTTTTTTTGTAAGCATTTGTGGAGGTGTCAGCCTCTGGGATTCTGTAGTGAACACAAATAATAATTGTATAAAAGAAATCACTTTCCTCTATCAGAAATGTAGGTGCCCTGAAGTGGAGTGAGGCAGGTGTTTTAAGCTATATGAAGCCTGGTGTGGCTTAAATAGTCAATAAGTAGTAACCAGCTTAGAGTTTTGCCATAATACTTGGTATTAATATCCCTATTTTCAATTGCTATTGCATCTTTAAGACTCCACGTCACAAGGACTTCTGCCTAATCTGAAAGCTGACACGCCTGACAATAGAATATCGCTATATATATTTCTTGAGCCGTAGAATAGATAGTGGCTCAAAAGGAAGAGTGCCACCTACATTGTTACTGCACGTAGGTTTTGCTTGTAGATCTCCCATCCAGATAGTTACTAGGGGGATACTCTTAGGTTATGTTAATTCCTTTTATTGGTGGTGATTTCTTGTTGCAGGCTACCTTGAACTACCCTAGACTGTGCAAATCACACTTTGTTTGTAATCTTGTTGCTTTGCACACGTGAAGCACAGTAGGAAAGGTGGTAAGGTAGAGTGATCCTTTCAAGGTCTGTCCTGGAGTGGAACAGGATAATCAAGTGGAGCCCTTCTTAAGAATTGCACCCACTGCTTTTTTCTCCTGCTATGCTAGTTCTAATTGAAGGTTTAGAGACTGGGAGTGGGGTCTAGACGGGTCACCAGTTCCATCTTGCTTAGCTTACGTGAGTTCTGGGGAGGTATAAACTGGGAAAATGTTGGCCTGAAGCCCTGATACCAAGGAGCTATCTAGAGGAATTTTTAAACGTAGATAAGAGCTAGAGGATGAGCCTAAGGAGGTATATAGGTATACCTGTAGTTTGCTGAACTGAGAGATCTTAATGTGATAGGGTACTATTTTCTCTAAGCTAGTCGAAGAATTTACTTTGTGCACGTGTTTCACTTCAGCAATGCTTTCTTTGCTGTTGCTAAAATGTCTAACAATCTTACAATTCTTCTATTCAGTGCTGAAATGTGAAACAGTTCCAATACTGAACACTGAAGTTATTAGGTGGAAAAGTGAATAAACAAAAGTGAATTGAAAGAAAACCGAATGTATATCAATTGGGTTTAACATTACATAAATATTCCAAGTGATTCCTGGTTGCTAATCTTTCTGTAAACTGGCCTAAATGTTATTGTTTCCTAAAGGTGCATGTGGATGCTATTGACAGTATGAATGTAGAAAATATTAAGTTTTTTTTGTTCTCCCTAAAACAGAACTACCAATGAAATAAAAAACCTGCAGTACCTACCTCGAACTAGTGAGCCCCGTGAAATGCTATTTGAAGATAGGACACGAGCCCATGCAGATCATATAGGACAAGGTTTTGAACGACAGACTACAGCCGCCGTAGGAGTGTTAAAGGCCGTGCACTGTGGCGAGTGGTAGGTGTCAGCTGGCTTTTTCTAGTTAGACATGTGAAAAATATTTCTGTGAATTTCTGTTTGCTTGCTAGAAGGTTCCTGAATTAGTGTGTTAATCAAGATGGGTATTTTGGCAATATAACTATTAATAGCTATTATGTTTCATTTTTTCCAACTTGATGAACTGCATATGCTGGCTCTAACAGATATAGATGTAGTATTTTAGTAGAAGATAAACTAGAAAGATGCATTACAGTAATGGCTTTTCAACTGGGTAAATTGTTAGACCAAAATGTTTCTGTAGACTGTAATTGACTGTGAAGCAGGATGTAGTGACATACTTAAATTTTGTCTCAAATGAACTGTTAATGAAAATTTTCCGGGAGTAATGCCTGAATACAAGCATAAACAAAGCTTGGAATTTTTACTTCCAGGAAAGCCTCTGCAACTATTGTATTAACTTTTTTTTTGTAGATTGATATCTAATGTGTTCCAATTTCTGATGCCAAGAAGTTGGTTTTCTTTTATGGTGAACTCTTGTACACCAGGCAGAACATGTGCCTTTTTTATTCAGAGTTTTTATTCCTTGGTGCAAGTAGAGCTAAACTTCTGAATGTTCTACTTCTTGTCAGACAGATGGACTGTTACTTTGGTCCACAACTTACTGGTGTGGTCCGTGCTTGGCTAGTTCCAAAAACACTGCTAAGGTCTAAAACCGTTGATGATTGGCAGCATGTGTACAAAGGCTGGTCTTGAATGTGTTGCTGAAAAGACTGAAATATCTGCTCTGGATTGGTATAGAAAAATGGTGCTCAAACTTTGTCCCTGGAGAGCCGATGGAAAATGCCTCATCCAGCCGTGATGTGATGGGGGTAGTGGTCAGCCTTGCCTGCCCTGAGCCTGGCCCCACAGGGAGAGGAAGGGGGCTTTACATGGCCCTGTGGTGGTGGGAGGGGGGCTGTGACAGGCAGGGGGAGATAGGGGGCTTGACCTAGTCCTGCAAGGGGTAAAGGGGTATGGCCCAGTCCCAACCTGGCCGTGTGGGGAAAAGGGCACATGGCTTGCCCCCTTGGGGGGTCTGGAGGAAGGGGTGTGGCTGGTTGTGGCCTAGCTTCGCAGTGATGGGGATGAGGGAGGAAAGAGGCATATGCTGGCCCTATTCAGGGTGGGGCATGGCCTTGTCTCTGACTGGGCATATGGGCCTTGGGGATTTGTCAGAGGAGAGGGTGACTGTATTAATGCTCCCCTGCCAAATTTCCTGACCCATGGGGAGCCCTGCAGGCCAGATGTGATGCCTCAGAGGGTTGCATCTGGCCTGTGGGCTGGAGGTTGAGCACTCCTGGATAGAATGTAGGTTTATAACACTAGACAGCTGTGAGATCAGACTGCAACATGTCATTTGGACCACCATTTTTGCTTTTATTTTACTTGGTTTAAGTTATTTTCATGGTAGACTCATCAATGACCAGAACTAAGAACCAGGTGTTTTACACTATCTAAAAATCTGTTACAATAGCTAGCCTCCTGATTTGTAGTTGCTGTGCTTTTGAAGTTTTGGCTAGTGATCAGACATTTTGAAACCATTGGTCCAAAAATATCAACAAACAAAATAATCTTAGATATCCTGTAGCAAACACTCTTTTGTAGACTGAATCTGCAGTACACTGGCTGTGTCTACATGAAATGCTACTGTGCAGTGATTCCTGTACATTTATTTAGTACTTGTTTATACATGTACTAAATAAATGCTCAGTAACCAGAGTAGTGAACATTTTTTTTTGTGATGGTGCTGCACAGTAGCCTGCTCCTACTGCACAGCAGTGTTGCATCGTGGTTTTGCCACGCGACACTACTGCACAGTAGTATCAGGCTGTTGTACAGTCAGTGTCTCATATAGACTGCCCACTACAAAAAATGAGGAGGTAAGAAATAAAGATTATCTTCAACATGTTTAAGAATATCATTTTCAACTTCAGTTCGAGTATGGCTAGGGTATTTGTCTTAAGTTTCTATGACATTTCATAATTATTAGTAAAGAAAACATTGCTGTTTGTTAACTACCAAAAGCTTGTCTAATTAAGCAAAGTATAGGTATTTTGGCATTTTTTTAAATAGATGACAATTTTTCATTTAATATCTTTTTAGAATTCACTAGTCATACATTAGCGTTATTTTACTTCATTCTTTTGTTTTTCCCTGTCCGTGCTTTGGCAGGTGCTCCCAGGTTGGAGTGTACATTCACCTTTCATAAGCAGGAATGTTAAAGTTGTAGAGAGTGCTTGCTGAATACTAAGTGTCTGGCCTTTTAAAGATTTTTGGGCAGGGGTTGGCAACCATTTGCAGACAGGGGCTGCTCTTTGTGACCTCTAGAGGGGCCAGTGCTGTGCACCTACTTTTGCTGCTGATTCCTATTGTCTAGGATGGGAGTAGGTTGCCAAACCCTCTATTTGGGCATTGGACTGTTGTTGAGCTGCATATACAATGAGCTTGCAGTATTAGCTCATAAATACGTGAAAGAATTTGCTTGCAAATGCATTTCCTACCTTAAAGAATACCCACGAGTTTAGTGCAAGAAACAAGTTTTTTTTGGGGGGGGGGGGGGTGATATCTTTTACTCAGGAGAGATGTTAGACAAACCTTTGGGCACAAATTGCCCTTCCTCAGGTCCTGAGGATGGGCACTCTGTACCCAAAGCTTGTCTGACTTCTCTTCCAACTATGCAGATTGTCTAATATAAGATATTGACAAAAATCCCTTGCTGCTTGTATGTTTCCTGGGCCATCACAGTTACAACTATACTCCAACTGTGCAATGGTTTTTTAGTAAAATTTGTGGTGTGGTGGTGTAGTTTACATCAGTAGAATGACTGATAAAATTTAAATGAATTGGGCATAAAAATATACTTAAACTGGCGCTGCATAGTTCATCAGGTAGCATTTATTTTTGTGAGCATATTTAAACTTGTGTTCTACAGTCTGTGGTGACTGCATTTTTATTTTGGGCACATAAACAGAGGGTTTGATTTAGACTTAAACCCTGAAAGCCCTAGGATTTTATCTATCTGGTAAGTCACCTTGCTTTTGTGTCATTAAATGGCAATGGAGTGGTGCTTGAAGTGACACATTCTCAATGAGCACTTCCTATTAGAGCTTCAGTTTTGGAACTTGCTTGGTCAAAACAGCTTAGGTTTAACCTTTAGAGTGTGCCACAAGGTTCAGTTTTTCTCTCGTTTGGGTGGGGTGGGGAGTGAGGACTGAGGAGTGGTACTACAGTGGAAGACTTCAAGATTGGCTGTGGGTTTTGTTGTATATGCACACTGAGTTGATCTGAAGGAATTGATTCTGGGCTTAGTGTATCTTTAAATGCATCTAAGACTGTCACTTGTATAAATCAAAATATATTTTAATGATGTTGGACATTTGGGGATTGTGGAAGTTGTAGCAGGCCTCAAGGGTTGAGTACCTGCTGGCTCTTTCCTGACCCACCTCACCTCCAGTCTCTTGCCTACCACTACTTTGATGTTATCTTTTGGGTTGTTGGGGAGGCAGTCCCTGGCAGTATCCTTGCTGGTTCCCTTGACATTTGACTCTGCCTTGTGGCTAGTTCTGCCCCGCCTGGATTAGTTGCTCCCCCCTCCTCTGCCAAGCGCTTCCCCTTTTAAGGGAGTGCTACCTTAGGCTTCCCAGCACCTGTTGGGGCTTCAGCCATCCAAGCCTTGGCCCTCTTTTTTTTCTTTACCCACACCATCAGCCTTGCTCTACTGTCTAAGTCCTCGGGTCCCAGGCACTGGTGCTGGCTTAGCAGCAGCATCTCCTGGCTAACAGTTTCACCCTGCCAGCCTCTGCCCCTCTAGCTTGGGGCTAGCCTCTATTGCTGATTGAAGGGAGTGCCACCTGGGTAGGTATTTAGTTTTTTTGATAGAGGCAGGAAGGTATCAGTACCATTGTATAAGGAATTGGAAATATCTCATTTAGAATAATGTTCATAGTCCCTGTGTTCAGAGAAAAAAAATCTGGAAGAGATGTGGAGAAAAGGCTATTAGGATGTTTTGGGGAATGGAGAACTTATCATATGGAAGAGCTTGATTTGTTTAGCTTGGCAAAATAAAGGTTCGGAGCATGTGTGATTAAAAACAGAGTGTGAATATTAGGGAAGCAGATGAGCTATTTTAAATGAAATGGCCATATGTGTACAACTTTGAATAGTTACAAATGCGACAAAGAAATTTAGAGTAGAAATCAGGTTTCTAGCCAGTAGAGCAGTGAGTCCTGGAATGGTCTTCCAAGCACACTAGCAGGGAACAAAGAATATGAATTGTTTTAAGATGGTGCTTTATGATTACACACACAATAAATAGTGTGTTTGGACAGGGGTGTCTTGGAGTAGTAGTGTTCATAACACGATATGCTGTTTTTAAATATCTGCTGAAGGGCTTGACAGGAAACTGAGCACTCTGTAATGTTGCTTGCATACAAGGGGGTGTTTGATACTCCCATGCTTACAGGTTTCTACTGATTTACTTTTTGGGGGCCAGGAAGAAATTTTGAATACATTTGGCCTTTGGGAATTGTTCATCCTCCTCTGAAGCACTAGACTTTGGTTACAGCTACAGATGAATGATGGGCTTGGGTGCACTAGTACTCCTACTGTTACTGAGAAGCCTCTCAAGTTCCTGGCTGGCTGGGTCTTGTTCCTGAGCCCCAAGTCAAACCAAAAACTAGAATTTCCCTATGACAGACTGGCAAGCAGCACTGGGTGGTTTTTTGCACCCTTCTATAGCAGTGATTGACAGCCAGGGTGCTGTGGCAAGCTGGGATGCTATGAGATCCCTTTAAGGGGTTTGCATAATATTAGCATCGTTAGGTGTACAAACATCTACATGTGCTTTTCAAGATAAATCCAGAGATTTCAAAGAGGAATCCATAGTGACCAAATATTCAGACCTGTCATGGTCTTCCTGACTGTAATAGAAAAGTTTTGTATTATGTTTCTATAGTTTAAAAAAAAAAGTGAAAGCTCAG